AAAAAAAAAAAAAAAAAAAATCAATTTTATTACACAACTTGTAAGGAGTAAGAATGGGTCATAAGTCCATGAGACTTGGACTCGTGGGTCACTGACCTAATAGGGGGAGGGGCGCATGCATTTTAAACAAAAAACTAAACAAAAAATGGGGGGGGGGGTGGTCAAATCGCTCACCTATCACACGGCCCGTGTACGTAATGGGTTATTGGTCAAAATAATAGACATCAAGTTGCCTTTTGCCTTTAATAAATGATATATTTTACTGAGCTGGATTAGGTCGTGAGTCGTGACACACATATACAATCATGCCAAAAGTCATATTTGGTTCAATGAATATCATAATTATTTGGGATAAGATTAGTCGAGTATGGATGCTCTACCTTTTGGCATGAAGATTTAATGTAAGTACAATAGATCCCTTTCTCTACGGCCACACCTTATACTACCAGCTTCCCGCCCCCTCTCGCTCACTCTTTTATCTGTCGCGAAATACTCATCTCAATATCAAGTTGTACGTACATAACCTAACAAATAGTTATTTGCTTAATTTTGTATTTTGTTTTTGGTGTTTCTGTATTTTCTTCAGACATCTATCCATCGATTGAGGTACTCCTGTATACCGGAGAATGCGACATCATGATCAACACCGATGCCGACACAAAAGAAGAGCTTCATAATCTTTACAAACCATCATATTGGATTCATGTTCATCTCTCTCTCTCTCTCTCTCTCTCTCTCTCTCTCTCTCTCTCTCTCTCTCTCTCTCTCCTTCTTTCATTCTCTTTTCCTCTCTCTACCTCTCTCTCTCTCTCTCTCTTGACAGCAATTGCTAGAGTATAGGGACTTGTCAATACCATGTTTAAAACAAATGATTGAATGTAAGACAATAATTATACGAAGATGTCATTCATCTTTTGTTTTGCGACATTCTTTTTGCATTGATGAATACTGGTTTAATATCGGACTGCTTAGAAACTAAATACAAGATTTTGGATAAGCAACATGGAGTATTCGAGTTCTACCCGAGGGTCTTGGTAAATGAGCATTTAATTTAATGCTTTTTATTAAAGGGTTATAGAGCGCATCGACATCGAATACGGAAACTTTGTCCGTGAGAATTTCATAAAAATAAGTTGATTGTTGAGAATCAAAAGAGGTTCAGAATGCAAACAAAATATTTGACAGTCCTTTGATACGATTGATAAAATGACTTTGAATGAAAGAGCCGTTTTCCCCCTCAAATTATGAACTATAGTTCACGTGATGAAAACAGTGTCTATAATAATATTGAAGCAATTTTAAAACAACGTACCTTGCATAATAATTTAGAAATGGATAAAGAAATCAAAGAACGAATCGAGTTTACAGTGCTGCACTGTATACACAAAGAAAAGGGGGAAATGTGAAATAAAGTGCACTGATGAAGATGAGGAAGAATGATTTGCCTAAATCATTTCATCGTCACCTCTTTTGTTGGTTAATGTGAAATCCTTTTTCCATAATTGTAAATAAGCACATTGTATATATATATATATATATATATATTTGAGCTCCATGTGTGGTGGATATGTGCGCCATAACAGTATTCGATTTTGTTTTGGTTCTTATCACCGAGGTGAAGTGGGGTTTAACCTTAAAGACTGGGCTTCAAAGGCTGTGAAAGACAAAGGATGTGGATCTTTTATGATTAAGAAATACTAAACTTTTGTTGCTTATTGAATTAAAAAAGCTTCTTTTTTATCAATCATTTTAAACAATCAGGTTTGTTATATAATTTAGTTTCTATTTCGATTCATGTAGACTTAAACAAGTATGTTACTTGAGTATATTATTTTGTAAATGATGCATTTTGATTTTTTATAAATAAATCGAAATCGATTATGCTCGACGGTTTAAAAAAAAAATACTGTGTGTCCTTATTTTAATGCCACTGACAACAGGCCTCCACTATAGACATCGAAAGACATGGCAGGTGGTTGTATTCTGTTTGTACTTATTTCTAGCGTTAAAAAAAAGTGTTTTCAGACTTATGTCTGAGCTGATAGCCCACAAAATTTGACGGAGGGGGCGACATTTCAGGGTTTTTCCTGAGTGCCTTGATCTTGCACTGTGGAAGAGAGGGGGCGAAACATTCTGAAAGTTTGACGCTTTGTTCCCATGAAGTCTATGTTAGAGGTACACATTGTTTTTTATGCCTCCGCCACCGAAGGTGGTGCCGGAGGCATCATGTTTTCGGGTTGTCCGTCCGTACGTCCGTACGTCCGTACGTCCGTCCGTCCGTACGTCCGTCCGTCCGTACGTCCGTCCGTCCGTCCCGTTTGACCGTTATCACAATATCTCAAGAACCATTTAAGATTTAAACTTAAGACTCGGGAATAGTATTTATCACCATAGGAAGACGATCTGATTAGATTTTGGAGTACGTAGGTCAAAGGTCACAGGTCACAGAGGTCAACTTATGAAATTCCTTGTATTGAGTTTGTTAGCGCGATATCTCAAGAACCATTTGAGATTTAAACTTAAAACTTAAGGATAGTATGTATCACCATAGGAAGACGATCTGATTAGATTTTGGAGCACGTATGTCAAAGGTCAAGGGTCACAGAGGTCAACTTATGAAATTCCATACATTGAGATTGTTATCATGATATCTCAAGAACCACTGGAGATTTAAACTTCAAACTTAGTGATAGTGTGTATCACTATAGGAAAACAATCTGATTACATTTTGGAGCACGTAGGTCAAAGGTCAAAGGTCACAGGGCTCATTATGTATGCAAAAACAGCTTGTGATCGCGTTATCTGAACAACCGATTGATGGATTCCTGCCAAACTTTGGTCATGTATGTATCTTGCAGAGCTGATGAACTGATTAGATTTTGGGGTCACGAGGTCAAAGGTCAAAGGTCACAGGGCTCATTATGTATGCAAAAACAGCTTGTGATCGCGTTATCTGAAGAACAGATTGATGGATTCCTGCCAAACTTTGGTCATGTATGTATCTTGCAAAGCCAATGAACTGATTAGATTTTGGGGTCACGAGGTCAAAGGTCACAGCGCACATTATGTATGCAAAAACAGCTCGTGATCGCGTTATCTGAACAACCGATTGATGGATTCCTGCCAAACTTTGGTCATGTATGTTACTTGCAGAGCTGATGAACTGATTAGATTTTGGGGTCATGAGGTAAAGGTCAAGGTCATGCGGCTCATTATGTATGCAAAAATAGCTTGTGATCGTATTATCATTAGAACAGATTGATGGATTCCTGCCAAACTTAGATCATTTATGTATCTTGCAGAGCCAATGAATGGTTCATAAGATCAAAGGTCATGGGCTCATTATGTATGCAAAAATAGCTTGTGGACGCATTCTCATTAGAACTGACAGATGGATTACTATTTAACTCAGGAAATCTTGCAGAGCCAATGAACTGAGTAGATTTTAGGGTCATGAGGTCAAAGATCAAAGGGTCATATATGTTTATGAGAAATTGCTTGTAATCACGATATTCTGAGAACATGTTAATGGATTACAATTGAACTTGAATTTGAAAAATTTCTTCCGTTTCGGTTTGTAAAATTGCTCTATGACGGAGGCATCATTTTCGACTGCGCGCAGTCGAATTCCATCTAGTTTTAAATTAACACCGGCTCAGTTGTACACTGTTAGATGACAATCTTCGGTTCAGCTTTTTAAAAAGGCATTATTTTTGTCACTTAATCTGTCTATTTTGGCAAAATAATATAACCTTGATATGAATAAGAAAAATCGGCTCAAATGGGGAAAATTGTCAAGTACAAATAATATAATGGGTTCATTTAATTTGGAATAGGGTGCGAGTTATGAAATGAAATCATTAATTGAAATCCTCGGGAAGAAAGAAAGAGAAAGGGAGAAAGAAGGAGGAGAAGATCGAGAGAGAGAGAGAGAGGAGCAAACGAGATACTGAGAAGGAAAACATGAGAAAGGAAGAGAAAGGGGAGGAGGAGGAGGAGGAGGAGGGAGAGAAAGAGAGAGGGGGAGATAAAGAAGGAGAAAATGAGAAAGGAGAAGGTACAGAGAGAGAAAGGGAGAAATAAAGAAGAAGAAAATGAGAAAGGTGAAGGGAGAGAAAGAGAGGGAGAGAGAGAGGATGAATAAAAGGGCCGGCCTATACGTCCGGTTACATTTATTTCTTCTTTTCTTTAAATCTTTAAAGAAAGAAAAAATCAAACATTACAGAATCGAAACAAAATACAACTATTTACAGAATTATAAAGCAACATTGTAAATAAATGAGATAGAGTGGATGTGTATACTTTAAACACCAAGATAAATTCTCTACTACTTTTGAAAATGTAAAGGAAGATTTTTGTTCTTCTTCCTAGTTAGGAAAAATTCTAAATCCTCTTTGATTTTCAACTGAGCCTGTAAAGTTGTAAAATGTTTACATTAGGAAATATACCTGGGAATTTGAACATAAACATTGTGTTTATATGTAAATTAAACATTTATCATTATTTGTATGCCAAACGTTTCCTGATAAATCGAGATCGAGAGCAGGGGCGGATCCAGCCGAGGGCGGAAGCCCAAGGGCGGGGGGGGGGGGGGGTGAGCATTAATAATGAGCCCCCCGTGGCCCCACCCCTTGGATCCGCCACTGATCGAGAGTTTGCATTTTGCATTCTTTCCTATAATAATAATCTTAATGTTATCAATCCGAATAGGTTTATGTATGGGACATTCACAGAAATGGCATTGTTTTAGCGAACATGCAGATCTGTCCGTCTTTCATCGCTTGTTATGAATGACGCATTGTGAGCTAGATTAGTTATTTCCACCGTATTATTTAGGTCAGCCAGTCAGCTTGACATCGGTGCGATGATTGTTCAGGACAGAACACATTGCAACCCCTTAACAAACGTATAAACTAATTTCCTTTGTAATCGTAGATGGCAAGTTCTTTTGCACCCCCCCCCCCCTAACCTTGCGCTCTCGCTTGAAATCGAAACAACTCCTTGAACTCCTTTTACTATACAACGCACGCAGAGTACAGTACAGCTAGCTAGCATCTGTTGATCTCGTGTGCAAGTCAACGTGTTTGTGCAGTCTACAAGGCTAGGCCTGTCATTTAGCTGGACTATAAATGATTTACTGGACCTGATATCAAAGTTAACTGTGGAATAGAGGTAAGTGAGAGTTTCCCCATGTACCGGGGTAGACATTGCTTGGATGTTATTGTTTAGACAAGGCTTGAAAAGAAAGGCATTGTTGTCGACCGTCTTGGGTGTGTAAAATTAGATCTACGCGCTACGTGTACTGCATGCAAGCCGGGGGGTTTCCCGTTACCAGGATGCCCTCGCTTGAGTAGAGATCGAGATGTACCTAGCTACATGTAGCTAACTGTAAAGGGCGCCTTTTGTTTTGGTCGAATTGCAGATTGTGGTGGTTATTTTACCTGACGGCTAAGAAAGAATAAAAGCAACCAGACGGCCGACAGCTTTAGGTCCTCTCCGAGGGACCTGGTAATAAGGATTATATTACCAAAGGACACTAGCGCATCGACTTGGTTTCGAACCCGGGTCACCGGATTATGAGACCACTGCTCTACCGACTGAGCTATTGCGCCTGCACAGATCTGCAAAATGTCTGAATTATTGACATACCATAGTATAGATGAGTTCACAATTATGCAGTTTTAAAAGGGAAAACAAACTAGAAAAGTTTGTGTTACCTGGTATTATGATCTTGTTGTTCATTTAGAATCGTAATTAATGTCAAATATTATTTACCTTTATCTCAGTGTTCTAGTGCAGTTCATTGACAAATCAGTGTCCAGTATTAAAGAGAAGGTTAAGTTCTGGGAAGAGGTGACAAATAATTTGAGGACGTTATCATTTTTATTATTCAAGTGTGGAAAATGGAAACATCAGATAAAACATGTTCCTTGAAAACTGAGCATGGCTCTTCAAATGCCTTCATATTCTAAATATGGCATGTAACAGTATAAAAATTGGGACAGACTTTTATGCCACATGTTAGTGTAGTCCCATCTTTTTGTGTACAGTCAGTGCTTAACTTTACCAAGACTGGGCCAAATTTCTTATCATTTTGATGATTCCAGAACCTTGCAGTACACACCAAGTTTTATATGCTAAATGATCAACCTTTTCTGATCTATTCCACATTGTTTCTTTCACAATGCAATCGCATGACCAGAATTCAACTTTCATTTTTGCTTATACAAAATTTGAATGGTTCCATTGTGTTGACTTTTGACGAAGCTTGCTAAATGCTGCAGATTCACAGCTTCAGAGTTCAGAGCTTCAGAGGACTTCATTCATGGGTATTCATTCATACTGTGTACATATATCAAGTTTTGTCAGTCTTAGCATTCATTCATTAAAGATCTTTTTGAAACTATTCAAAGGAATTACTTCAACAATGAAAGTAAGTTACATTCTGGGAAAGAAATGCAAAATAATAAAATCAGATAAAGATCAATTTAGAACTGTATTTTTATGGCTTATATTTATAATCTCTATAAATGTTTAAAAAAACATACTTAAAATGATAAATAGAAAGAAAAGGACATTCAAAAGTTGATTTAAATAGGAGAACACACTAAGACAATAAAGAGAAGAGCCACCCTTTAATCAAAGAGCATTCTTTAATTGGAAAGAGCCATGGAGACGGAGTGATAATAAATATTTAAAAACCGGTAGATTTAAACTAAGTGCAATATAGTGTGCAATACATCAGATATCATACATTGATGGAAACACCAGGTTTAGATGCTTTTGCTCCTTTGTCATTGTAAATTTTGATGTAAGTTTCAAAAGTGTAATAACATATTAACATTAAGAAGATTTATGACTTTATTAAAGTTAACACAATTTTTAACTTCACTTTGCCATTGTAAATTTTAATTGAAGTTTCAAAAGTGTAATGACATTTACATTTTATAAGATTTATGACTTTATTAAAGTTAACCAAATTTTCAATTTCTCTTTGCCATTGTATATTTTTATTCTAGTTTCAAACTTTAAATCTCATTTTACATAAGATTTATGACTTTATTAAAGTTAACCAAATTTAAAAGTTCACTTTGCCATTGTAAATTTTAATTGAAGTTTCAAAAGTGTAATAACATTTACATTTTATAACATATATGTGATTTTATTAAAGTTAACCAAAATTTTAACTTCTCTTTGCCATTGTAAATTTTTATTTTAGTTTCAAACTTTGAATAACATTTTACATAAGATTTATGACTTTATTAAAGTTAATCAAATTGTAAACTTCACTTTGCCATTGTAAATTTTTATTGAAGTTTCAAAAGTGTAATGACATTTACATTTTATAAGATTTGTGACTTTATTCAAGTAAACCAAATTTTTAACTTCTCTTTGCCATTGTAAATTTGTATTGAAGTTTCAAAAGTGTAATGACATATTTACATTTAGATTTATGACTTTATCAAAGTTAACCAAACCTTAAACATCTCTTTAAAGAAGCATTTCTCGATACTTATTTAGAGTGTAAAATGTACATGTACGTGTACTGTTGGTTTATATTTTACGAGTATACTTCTAACAGTGTACGTGTAGCTCGTTAGTTTCACATGGTAATGTAGGAAGTGAGATAGCTAAACTGAAGAAGAAAAAACATCATGACTCAAGCCACCCACATCAGGATAACTTGTCAACATCTGTTTGAAATGGTGGAATTACTAGGTTTCCATGGCAACCGCCTTTACAAATAAACCCAACCAAGATGAGTGAGCTTGTGTCTAGGGATGTAAGGTTCAGAAGTTAGGCAAGATAGGAAGATAGACAGAACGATCTAAAGGAAAGATAGACAGAACGATGTAGAGGAAAGGTAGAATGGCAGAGGATGAAAATGATTTATGAGAATTAGACAGGAAAATAAAGAGATGGCCAAAGAGAATGAAATAGGGGGAAATAAAATAGAGCTTGAAATACATAGAGAGTAGGTGAGAGAGAGAGAGAGAGAGAGAGAGAGAGAGAGAGAGAGAGAGAGAGAAAGAAATATACATGATGTAAAAGTACATATTTTTGTTGTTATAATGAAAACTTTGAAGATCATCTAATGTAGGTGAATCAGTAACTTTGTCATGAGTTTGTTATCTTTAATAACCAAGTGGTGAACTGAATATCAGTTTCTTGTAAATAAAAGAGAACTTAACAGTTTAACATTTAATATGCCACACAAATAATCTTCCTGTTCCACACTGTATTCATCATCCCATTGTAGATATACCAAAGCTTTCAAGATTATTTAACTGTTTCCAGATTAATATAAACCGGTGTTAAAAGGATTATAGCTAATTAAGACTGGAAATGGGTAGTTTTGCAAAGCCATTGTGTTGCATATCAATCCTTCTGTCAATTGGTGCCTGCTGGTATTGTTTTGTGCAAAATTGCACATTTGGCAAATAAGCAACTGTGCAGAGAGACGAATAAAGCAAAGTAGTGTTAAATATGAAGAGTGATGAAATGATGTCAGATTATTATGACCAAGATGTAAATTTGTCTACAGATGAATTAAATTGAATTGAATTGATTTATTGTCCATAAAAAATGGAAATTTGTTGTTCACTGGTACAGGTGTGTTAGAAAAAATTGAGATTGCGAGTTACAAATCATTCATTTGAATTTTTATACCTATGGTATTAATCAATTGTCTAATTTTCCTCAAAGATTTTTGATCTGCTCAAAGCCCCTCTAAAGTGTTGGGAGCCCCAAAAATTTGATGGCAAAATGTCACTTGAATTGTATCATAATGTGAAAGAGGGTGTCATCTACATACAACAGAAATCCTAAATTATGTATTCTTTTATCAATTTTTGTCTTCAAACACATCTCGGGGGCAGGGGGGGGGGGAATCTTTGCAGAAGTGTGTCTTAAATGACATCCTCTTTCACATTATGATACAATTTAAGTGAAATTTTGCCATCAAATTTTTGGCTAATTTGGGACTCCCAACACTTTAGAGGGGTTTTAAGGTCTGATTCTCAATTGATATTGGAAGGAAGTTGTTCTCACACCGGCATTGGCCTCATATGGCAGTCCAAATATATTGTAATTTATGCTCTGTGTCCTGATTACATTTTCACCCCTTCCCCTCTTTTTCTATATGTTAAAGATTGTGATGAGAGACTCAGTGTAGTAACACAAAAAGAGAGAGGGGAGGAGGGGGGGGGGGGGAGAGAGAGAGAGAGAGAGAGAGAGAGAGAGAGAGAGAGAGCAAGAGAGAGAAAGAGAGAGAACAAGAAAATGTGAGAGAGGGAAAGCGGGTGGCTAGAACAAGTACAAAATATAGTAAAGATGTAGCCTACAATGTGATGTTTCTTGTACAACATCTGTAAATTAATTCATACATTTTTCTTTACAAGGGAAGTGAATATTCGTCTGATCGCCGTGATAGGACACACTGCGGCTACTGTGTGGCTTGGGAGTTGCCAATCGAGGGAGGTACCAGGTGATGAAAGGAGCAAGAAGGAAGCAAGCTGGAGTTTCAAGTATTTGTCTCGGTTTCTGTCAGAGGTAAGAGGCCCAAGTACATCCTAGAAATGTTTATATAAGAGTGATCAAAACTGGAATTTGTGTTGTTTATTACAGTATCGATGGATGATATTTTATCGTTATAATTTCCTACACTACCCAAATTCTTAAAGGGCAATCCAACCCATTGTAAATTGGTTCATTTGTATGGAAGCAGAAGAAAACAAAAACAAAACAGAATGACAACAGTTTGAAATACATAGAAGCAAAAATATGAAATCTGTGATTTTTTGACATATGAGATCACATAGGCTAGATGCGAATCTCAAATCAGAAGTTGGGTCAGGGGATTGCAACGTACAATGAAGTCACAGAGAACTCTCCCTTTTGTTGTGTACAAAAATATCATTAATTTCTAGTTTTTTCTATAGTATAGTGCCTTTCCCCACTACTCAAAATATATCATGGATAGCATATAGGTCCTCTAAAGAGAAAAGATCAAGAAAAGAATATATTCAATCATACAAACACTGTAAATATATATTGCAAAAGTGGATACCATCCATAGAGTGAAGTGATGCCCTGTATATTTCACAATCTCCAACACTTTTATATCTAAGCTTACCAAACTGGGTAAAAAAAATCTTTAGTTCGAAAGGGAAACTATATAGATACAGATTATACTATTTTCTATTTTTAACCAAAACAATTGCTTGCAAACTTCATGTACTTGGCTCTAGCATAAGAATTGAGCAGTTCAACATACTTTTTGACATTCTTAAAGACCTGTTTACCTTTTTTATTTAATGCATACTTTTTGAAAAAAAGTTTGTCTTGACAATTAAGGAGCTTGCCAGAGGCTTGCTTGAAATAGCAATAACTGTATGCAAAGTGGAGACGATCTGATTATATTTTGGGGAAAGTAGGTCAAAGGTGATAGAGGTAAATTAACATGAAATTTCAGTATTTTAGTCCCATTATCGCAATGTCTCAAGAACTATATGAACCATGAACTTCAAACTTAAAGGTATAGACCAGTTTGGGTCATGCGATTGCATTGTGAAAGAAACATTATGGAATCGATCAGAAAAGGTTGATAATCTAGCATATAAGTATTGGTGTGTACTGCAAGGTTCTGGAATCATCAAAATGATAAGAAATTTGGCCCAGTCTTGGTAAAGTTACAAGCACTGTACACAGAAAGATATGGGAATACGCCATATCTATCCAGCCCGGATAGATATAATAATTTACCAAATATATCAATTAGTAGGTGGTTTCCCAGCAAAATTTGTATCATCACGTACTAGTCAAAACATATTCTTTCACATGATTGGTAATAAGAGCTTCCATTTCATTTTTTGAGAGAGGGGCATTTACAAAACTGGTCTATACCTTAAAAAGGAAGATATACATTATAACATTGTGATCATGCACGCAAAGGTTTGCTGCTTTGCTGCTTTGGCTTTGTGATTTCCTTATTGAGCTAAACTCTTCATTCTTGATCTAAAATTAGCATTCTTAATGCCTATTCTTCTTCAAAGATTATTTTGCCCTACCTGCACCTCAGATATACATGTATCATTGGCCACATGTTCTTTTTTAAACACCCTCAACTTCAAGTTTACCTGTCAAGTTCAGCAAAACTTGAGAGGGATTTTTGAGATATTAAAGAATTAGGACAAAACAAAGGGACAGCTGCTTACTCAGCATATCATCAAGTTGCCAGGTTGTTTTGGATCAGTTACAAACTAAGGTGTTAGTCTCTATTTTCTCCTTTATGTCTTGTTAAAACAAAACATAGATGAACATACACATTATGTTTAATGAATTAAATTCAATTCAATCAGGTTTTCTCAAAGTGCACTAATGTTTTTTCTGTGTTTTTTTAATATCAAGTTGGACCTGCCCATTGGAATTTTTTAAAACACTGGCATCCCAACCCAGACCAATTACTCTAGAGCTTCTATATTTCTGATCACATTTCTGAAATGTATTTATAGCATGGATTCATGCCAAAAGTTGTATTAGGCCTCTTTAGAAACAGTGAATTTATGAGCCCCAAAGCCTTCCAACAATATCCCTGCATTTAGCTGACGGAGAGGAAATAAAAGTATGGATCTCTGTTAAGCTCATACTTCCTGCTTTCAATATTACAAAATGAGTCCAAACTATGATTAATGGTTCGCTAGAGCATTTAATGTGAAAACTATTCAGCCCTAAGTACAGAAGTGGATCGCTATTAAAGTATGAATCATATGAGGAGTGATTGGAAACTCCCCTTACAAACAGAAATGTCACATAGATCTGAACATATACACTGTAAGTGATCCACCAGTCAAATATAACTCATGATTATAGTTAAAGTTAATTAATTAAAGTTAAAGGGAAATCCAACTTGGGTAGCAAACAAATCTAAAACAAAGCAGAACAATTTGAAAGGCAGACTGGTGAAAGTTTGAACAAAATGTGACAAAAAATTAGAAAGTTATGTATTTTTTAAAGTAATATCACTATATTTATGGGAACTTCAAATATATAGGCTGAATCAGTCACTCTGATGTAGTGCCGGACAACTTTCCAATTTGTTACAACATACAAAATGGTAGAAATATAATTTTGTCTCAACATGTTTGACTTGGAATGGTCTTTTCTTTTTTAGAGGACCTTTGATAATTTACTCTCCATGATATATTTCAAGTAGTGCCTCAAGGGTGAAGGAACGTGAGAGAAAAACAGAAACAGGTGATATTTTTTTAAAATATGAATGGGAGAGTTATTCCTCGCTATGTCACAATCCACTCACAAAATTGCCATTTTGAGATTCACATATCTGTAGTGATCTCATATTTCAAACATTCATATTTAACTGTGTTATCATTGGTCTGATTATTTCAATTTCTTTTGGCCACTCTATTCCTCTCATTTTTCTGCTTTCATTCAAATAAACTAATTACCACGGTTAGATTGCCCTTTAACAGTGACCTGTGCATGATAGTACAGGTTTGCATGATAAATGACCATTAAGTGAACCTTTAGAGAGATTTTCTGGTTTCAAGATGCTCCAAGCAAACCGTTCTCAGTTTGATTATTTGAAGCAGTGCAACAGTCATCTTATTGATAAACAACAATTGTCATTGGTTGTAGAATCTCTGAGGAGATTCCCTGTAAGGTTGATAAGTGATTTGAGAAAGTACATGATGCCTTGTATATTTCACACCCTCCAGCTTTTGGATAGCTGTGAGCTTACCAAACTGGGGGAAAATCTTCTGTTTGGAATAGAAACTAGATCTACATTGTTCCATTTTCTATTTTTAACCAACTCAAGGGCTTGTAAAGTATTTGGTCTTGGCTCTAGCATAATAATTGCATGTTGGAGACGCAGCTGCTTTCACATTTGTCTTGTTTGAGATATGGAACTGTGCCTGAAATTCGGTCATGCACAAATTATGGTTACATGACCATATAGTTCATACATCGTAGTAGCAATACTACCTCTGGTATCATAATGCCAAGGTTTTGAACCAGTGAAACTATGGTGTGTCTGGTTAAACTGAAGAGACTGGACTGCAAATGCAACTGAGTGATAAATATAGGGCATCCCTTTAAATAGGTGATTTGAGAAAGGAAATGTTTGATGTCATCTGTAGTCTATGATTAGTGTTCCAATTGCTTGAATCCAAGGCTGAGTCATGGCTGTAGAGGGGGGTGTGCCAACAATCATGGTCAAGGGCTCATGCAGGGCTCACATCGAGTACAGGAGACTCATCAAGTGAAGAGACATTCATATCATCTATTGATTGGGATTAATTCAAACTTAAAGAGCAGGTTTTCATTCAGGATTTATTTGATCATGCCTCAGTTCTCCTCCAGTTTATATGTGAAGGTTTGGCACAGTGACGCACAAGTGATGGTTCTACATTCGCCTTCTTATCCTATTATCTCAGGTATGTCTTCATTTCTTACTGCATTTAGGGAAAAAAAAATATCAAAAAATTTCAGGGGCTACTTTTCAAGCTTGCTTGCATAAGAGTAACACTCTTCAATTTGTTTTGCATTGAACTCTATGCAAATTTTGGGGGTTTTTTTTAGTGACTTTCGGGGGCTCTTTTGGGCATTTAATTGTGTTCTTTTTTCCCTGCTGCATTATTCATGTACATGTATGTGATCGATTGATTGTGACTGATATCAATCACCTGCTAGTATGTACATCAGAGATAGGTAACTGCAAACTTGCGATTGATTAGAAGACTTTTTATTGATTTGGATCAATGGCGACACATTATAAGATGGTACCGCTGAGCTCTCTTATAGTTTCAGAGTTGTTTAGGAGCTTGGCAGAGCTAAATCGGTCAGTGCTCGTGCGTATTCATGTCTCTGTAGGGAAGTGCAATGCTGTTTTTATTGCAATTTGTGCTATTCCAGAACAGATTTCTTTTCCTTCCTCTCTGTATACTTACATGTAGGGAACATTGAGATTGAAAATGATGTTGGTCGAACTAGAAGCATGATGCTTATATGCAAATTCATATTTATTCAAAATATGAAATGGTGATTATTGGAATTATTGGAAGTTTAAATTATCATTATATGTTTGTAATGTTCATATATATCTATTTAAAGTTTTATTTAATCAGGGTTGCCTCTTCAGTTAATAAATTGCTATTCCTGAGAACCCTACACAATAACAAAAATACAAACAAACAATATTGAGGTTAATACAGAAAACTTTCATCAGTTGGGTATAATCATATAATCACATAATGTATTTTTTAAAGCTTCTACCAACCTTAAATTTTGTGGGCAAGCTTTTGTCCACTCCTGTGACTTTCTCAAGCCAAGTGATCAGTCACACGTTTTACCAGTATTTGAGGTTATTTGATAATAACGAATTACTTTCTTGCAATTTCTTTTCCAATCTTGAAGAACAATTAACAGACTATAAGATAAAAAGGGAAATTAATAAACACTTAAGCCCCAATATTTGTCAATAAATAGGTTTAAGGGGTCCCAGAGTGTAAAACTTTCAAAATGTGTTGAGC